TTGTATTTCTCTGGTTGATCTCTTAAAATGAATAGTATTTTTCACCAAAGGTAAAAATAAAGTTCTGCAAGCTGTGTTGAGCCTATTCCCTGAATTTCTCCTCTGGGTTCTTCCTTATCAATTGAGATCCTGATCAGTGATAGATCCTGTTCAGGAGGTATTTCATGTGGGAAATCCCTATGCTGCAGAGTCACAGCAGCAGATCAGCTATCTTAGCTAAAGAGATTCTGGAAGCAAAGACAAGAATAATGCCAAACACCTGGGGCCATTGGGTTAGTGCCCAAATACTATTAATATATGTGGATTGTGCCTCTGCCCAGCTCTTTGCAAATGAACCATAGTGTTGGTGCATGAGTGAGGCAGCTTTTACGTGTGAGGTTACACTGTTTGACTACCAGAAGCTCCACTGGTAACTCTCTGAAATAGTCAAATCATATACCAAATAAACATGTTGCTCTTGCAAGTTTAAGAGGAGGCAATACAGTTTTAGACATGAATCAATATATTTTGTAAGATTTGTACTGGGGTGCACAAGGTGGCAGAGATTGTCACATATCTGAACAGGTTGTGTTCATTATTAGGGTATGTGATATTTCTCCTGCATATCACTCAGAAGGAAGTGTGGCCAGTAGGCATCTGTTCACACTCTCATGGACCAAGTCAGTGGAGAAGCACAGGTACCTCATACCACAGGAGCTTATGTCAGAATTAACTCTGCCCTGTCCAGATGTGTCTTCCTTGTCTGAGCTGGTACCACGGATGATGCTCTCCTGACCTCTGGAATACTGATTCCTGTACTAAATTCTTTCTTTGAGACCTGTGATTAGTCAAGTTGACCCTGATGAAGTGCAAGTCAGACAACTCTTTCTTAACTTCATGTGATCCTACTCCTGAGCAATTGGGAGGTTTGGTGGGAAGGCTAATTAGAAGCCTCTTTAATGGGTTCCATTTCATGAGAAACCTTAGCAGTTACCCCTGTTCTAAGCTCCCAGATAGGTTTAAGGGCAGAGTCCTCTTTAAATGCCACAAAGGGTTGATCTCTTCATTTCATAGATGAAGAAAAGGTGCCTGGGAGATAGGCAGCTCTAGTGATCTTGGTTAACGCAGAGGTAAAAACCTTTGCAAGGGGACCAAAGAAAATAGGAACAGGAGATCCACTTCCTCCTAAAACATAAGACCCTTAGTTGGGTGCATGCCTATAATCCCAGGGGCTTGGGAGGCTAAGGCAAGAGTATAATAAGTTCACAAACTGTCTCAGCGATTTAGCAAGGTCATAAGCAACTCAGCAATACCCTGGCTTAAAATAAATAATAACATGCCTGAGGATGTGGCCCAGTTGTCAAGAGCTCCTGGGTTCAATCTTTGTTATAATAAATAAATAGATAGATAGATAGATAGATAGATAGATAGATAGATAGATAGATAGATAGATAGATAACTCACTCTGAGCCGGAGTAGCAAAGCAGATAGACCAATAGTCTGGCATCCAGTACATTACAACAGAGGAGGGGAAATGCATTTTTCAGTCTGCCTTCCTGCAACTTGGATCCCTGCTGCATAAAACAGAAACATCCTTGCTTTTACTTTTTTTTTTTTTTTTTTTTTTTTTTTAGATAAGCATGCCACTTGGGAAATGCCAGCCAGGACCAAAATGTGAAATCTGTAAAATTTGCCCCAGTTCTAGCCCTTCCAAAAAAGCAAGTACATAGTTATCTGAAAGAGGAAGGGAGGAAGGGGTAAAAAGGGAAAGGCAGAAAAAGGAACAGAAAAGGGTTTTCTATGAGGTATCTTCACTATCAAACACTGTTTAATATTGGTGTTGCATACCTGACAAATTGCATACCTTCTTCTTATGGAAGAAGAAATCCTTCTGCTTGTGCTTTTATTTAATTTTTGCTTCTAGTTTCTTCTAAGCTTAATTGTATGTGGTTACTTTCAAGACAGACTTCTTTCTGTTTGTGAAAGTTCTTTTCTGGGTACAAGTTAAGCACAGAAGTCCTGACCTAAGCTTTGGCCACCAAGTGTGCATAGGGATCTCAGCATAGGTTCCTTTAGGAGGTCTGGGAGGGCCATTTTTACAGCCAACTGTACCATATTAATGCCTCTGTCTCACAGGAGTCCCACAAGAGAAACAGCCGAGAAAGAATAAAACCTGGTAGATGTTGACTTAATGGGCAACCAAGGAATTTGGGACTCCATCCATCTTTATCAGACATAGTTCAGTGCTGTTACAAAGAAGTGGCAAGAGCAAAAGGGGGAGCTCATGGCACCTTCTCATATTGGACATCTATCAATCTGGTATACCTACACGGAACTTAGTGCACAAAGAGCATCATGTAAATACATATGTATATGTAAATATATACTAAATGTTGTATTTGTTATATACTTTACATAGATATATAAATATGTTTATTATGTATCTACATGTTATATTTACATGTGTGTATGTTTGTATGTGCATATATGCATGTATGAATATCCCCCTCATTTAATCTTCATATAAATGATAAAAGTTCTGGAAAGTAGTGATCCTTATTCCTCATAAGAAAGGGGGGCATCAAAAGAGCTTTGCCCAATGTCTGGGAGATAGGGAGGTGGAAAGCTGGCACAGAACCTAAGCGGTGGTGGCAAAGTCTGATGCAGTTTGCATTTAAGGAGATAATGAAGCATTGAAATAGGTTCAGTGATGTATCTAACTTCATGTGGCTGCCTGAAAGCAGAACTCTCATACTAAATCACTCCTCTGAGGTGATAAAATCAATTTAGGGTGAAAGAACGTGATGATTGGTACTGTTGGATGAACATTCCACATTCCATGACACAGTCAACCTTTTAAAACTTGAATGCAGGCTTAGGAAGCCATTCGTGGGGGAGAAAGAAGAGAACGGTTGCTTACTGTCTCCTCCCCACAGCTCCTTCAGGCAGCCCTGAGGAAAGTTCCTTTCTTGCCTTTAACATCTCACAGACCAAGGCGAATAAACACAGGATGGAAGGTTGAAGGTGAAACTGAGCTTCCCCCATAACAGTTTCAAAGCCTGTCCTTTCTCACTTACATCCAAAAGGGGTGGGAAGCCTCAGCTATTCCAGAGGCAGGGAGTGTGACAGAGCTGCCTCAGTGTAACTACGTGCTGGCTGTCACAGCATGGTAATGTACGCACACACTTGGCTACTTGCTGATAGCTGTAGAGAGGAATTTGTGCCTGTGTGTCTGTGTGTGTGTGGGACTGTGGAGGGGGTGTGGGCCTGGAAGGTTTCCATTTAATTTACAGGCCTTCATGAATAACCACATTCATTACAAAGGTACTATTTTTGGGATTGGACAAATTTAATTTTGTGGTTGCCAGGTTTCTTTAATTTTTAGGAAAAGAACTTGCAGCTCTATTTGGAGTTTCCAATTTTAAAGCTGAATCCAAGTTTTTACTCTACCCTTGCTATAAATGGAGTACTAATCCATTTGAGGATTTAGGAGAAAATGTGTAAGTATAAGACTTGTCTTTTTCTCCCTCCCTGTTTCCCTTCTATCAAATGGGGACAATAAGTACCCACTGCAACTACTTAAGAGGCCATCTGAATATCATTAAATCTTGGCCTTCAGGTGAGATAAGCCTACAAAAAATAATATCAGGTGCCTAGACCTTGAAGCTATTCACAAGACAGCAATACCTAATGGTAAAAAGCAGTGTTCAGAACCCAAATAAAAGGATTTTCAGTTTCTTTGCCCATATAGATGGAGTTTTAGGATCATCACAGGACTATTTAGCTCAATTAATATTACTTACATTAAAAGCATCTCGCCAAGGTCCTTAAACACTAAGTATCCAATAAAGTTTAGCTATTTTTATTATTAATAACATTATTTCATGGCTCCTATGAGAAGAAATGGTACGTTTACATTTATAAGAAAAAGAACAGTTTCAATATACAAGGCTTCAATATGTAAAAAAAAAAAAACCACAAAAAAAAAAGAAAAAGTAATGGTTTATCTAGGGGACATATAAGGGGGTAATGATAATTTGGTTTTAATAAACTTAACATGCATGGTTTTTTAATAACACAATTCCCCTCACAAATAATTTAATATTTGCTTTAGACCAATAAAGAGATTGGGTTTAACATGGATGCAATGCTTAGAGGAAAAGGACCAAACCCTTTCTCTGGAGAAAACTAATTTGGGATTTCTCTGAGCAGAAACAACTGAGAGTCTTACTCAGTATCTTCAGAAAAGGGACTAGCACTATTGCAAAGCTAAATGACTTGAAATGAGAGTCACTGGGAAGATTTAACATGCTCATCAGAAGTGCTTTCCCAATGGGACTCTGGTCTGCATATAGACTTGTAAAAAATATAGCTGGAGCAATGGGAGGGTAGGCCTGAGCTGACTTGCTCAAAGTCACATGACTAACGGGTCTTGCAGTCAAGAATCAATAGCAAGTGCTCTGACATAAGAACGCATTGACCCAAATTGGCACTTGGGCTTTTGAGAGATGTTTTATAGTTTGGGTCCTTATTTTCTTTAATGGGAGAATATATAAAAAAAAAAAACAAAGTTCTAATGTCATCTTAGAAAAGATAGAAGAAATTAGTAATTATTCTATTGTGACTTTGGAGTGCCCTTACAATGCAGCAATTACTTTGTAGAACAATTTTGCAGATAATCACCTATAGGAATCTTTAAGGGATGCCTCTCTCCTAGCAGGCTTCATGGAGCCCCATGAAAAGTGGGGTGGCTGAGTGCCTGGCACCATTAGGAAGCTTGCTTTCTTCAGTTCAAAAAGTTTCTCAAGTAAGCATAGCTCTATTAAGAGTTCAAAGTATAAATAAAGGCTTGAATTAGGATCAGAATATAAAGTTAGGACCCTCTGTCTAGCATGGTGGTCTCTTATCAGTTATGCCCATGGCTGGGTTGCTTTCTTATGGTGGGAAGTAATTCTAGAATCATTATGCTTTTCCTGAAAATTCCATTCTTTCTCCCCACAAAGGTGAAAGAATAGATTTTTCAGCACAAAGTAGCCATGGAAAACATTTCAATGATTTTCTGTCTTATTTTCTGATTCATAAGAGCAAGAGAATGTACAAAATCATATTGATTAAGATCAAGCATGAAGTCTACCGCAAAACTTTTATCACTCTTTCAAAACTGACAAAATCAAAGCGGCTTGGTAAGTGGCCTTCATTGAGATCAGAACAACTCAAGGCATTTTCTTTTCTTTAAATAACTGGAATGTGGGCTGGGGTTTTAGCTCAGTGGTAGAGCACTTGTCTTACCCATGTGGGGCACTGGGTTTGATCCTTAGCACCATATAAAAATGAACAAGTAAAATAAAGGCATGCTGTCTATCTACAACTACAAAAAAAATTTCAAAACAAAAACAAAACCTGGAATGTTTATTCTTCCTTTTCCATGACAGGTAGAGCACATGTTTGACAAAGATATAATGGGACATCTTGTATTTTCTTTCTTTGGAGCACAGCAAAGAAGAGTGCCCAGGCACAGCATCGGGTGTAGTTGAATGACTGTGACACTACTTTGCATCCTGGTGCCACACCCAGGGATAAGCCATAATTTCAGGGTTTTGAAGTTGTAGAGCATCAGGCAATGATGGTTGGGCAAACACTTCCTCTTCCCAGGGCCTATAGATGGATGGCATGCTAACTTTCCATAAGCTTATATGGAAAGAACAACAGCATCTTCAAAGAGCTATATTCCAGGTTATAGTCTTTCCACACTCCATATAAGTGCACAAGCTACCTATGTCTGGGAACTTCTGAGGGTCCCTCAATTCTGTCCTTTTACCTCTGACATCTCCTAAGCTAATGGATATCCTTGATGGCATTAGGTTTTCCTTTTCTTTCTTCCTTAGGCCAATGAATTGTAGCAGATGCTGTTTTTTTTTTTTTTTTATGGGTGGGGGGAGTCTGCACTCATAAAAAGAACTTCATCTTTTCCTCTGAAATCTCATCTCCTCAAGAACAGAGAAACTTTGCTTTATAAACATTAGCACTGCTTCTTGAAATATATATTGTTTCACTGGGAAAAGAAGTCTCACATCACAACCATAGAATCCTGGGTTGTCGTGGAATCTTCAGAGCACTTTGTGAACTAATGACTCCAGTTTGTGTTGCAGTATTTCATTCAGCACTTAAATCTGCTATTGCCTTCACCGTCTGTATTGCTTTACAGTCCAATTTCACACTTTCATACTTTCATTGCCTCTCTCATCCAATCATTCAATTATTTATTTAACCCTGATAAATCCTCAGGAGTCACACTGGCATTGTCCTCACTTTCAAGGGTGGGGAGTGTGTGTGTGGATAAGTACATTATGTGGATGAGGGGAAAGGAGAAGTGTCTTGCATTTATTCATAGAATCATTTCAGATTGTAAAGCTAGAATATGTAACCTTTCAAAGTCAATGACTATGGCCCTCTGTTGATAAACATAGATGTCTTGACCATTAAATAGTAAGCTATGAAAAATAGAGGTTTTTTTTAAAAAAAAAAAACGTATCCTATCTGGCCAGAAACCTTAGAAATTCACCAGAGGCAAATCTCAAAGAATTTTTCTGTAGATAGAAAATTTCTCTTGAGCTTTCTTTATTCTTAATTAATCATTAATAATCTTAATTAATCATTAAAAATTGAGGGGCCTATTGACAATAAATAAGTCATTATGGGATTGTATTGTTCAAGCATTATTTCTCCTGGGGTTTACAGTGATATATTTTTTTTCTACTTTTATCTTTTTTTTTTTTAATGCTTTCAAGTTAGAGAAAACAAGATGAAGTGAATGCTGTACTGCATTTCAAAAAGTCAGAAACCTTCCTCATTTTCTCTTTTATTCTTTAATCCAAAGTCTTTATATAAAATAATCAGACTTATTGTGCTCCCATGTTACAATTATTTTGGCTTATGATTTTTTGATGTCTTGCATATGTTTGAATCATATGTGACATATGATTCGGTATTGGTCTTAATGTTACCTTTGGTTTGGCCTTTGCTACCATGAGGTCAAACATCAGCGAGTACTTGGGTAGTCAGATGAATCTCAAAGAATTTATCACAGAAGCAGCAAGGCAACTCCTAAGGAGGTGAAATGACACTAGATTATAAAAACCTTCTCAATCCATACAAAGAGTGGATTTGTTTTCAAATGTGACCTTACAAATTGATCAATCAGATTAGCAGATAAAGAATATTCTTAGATATGTGCACTTTACTTCTGTAAAAATGATCATGTCTATTTTCATTAGGTGGAAGCATCATCATAGGAAGATGAGGTCATAGAAAACACAATTGGACAAGAACAGGTGCTAGAGAATGGTTGACCGTGGGGTAAAGCTGCAAATCATAAAGTGCAGTAGTAATTTTTTATGGGGAGGCAGAGATGAAAGGAGAGAGGAGCAAATGGAAAGTTCTAAAGTACCGATAATGCTGTCATTCTTGGGTTGGGTGGTGGGTACTGAATAAAATACCCATGGTGCTCAGTTTTCTAAGTAAAACTTCTACCATTTTCTTCTCTTTTTTAGTTAGGATTACGAGGTGAATAATTCTTGGCAACAGATAATCTAGGGCACAAATAAAACACCCTAGCCTCTCTCTAACACAAGGTATTTTTCCAAACAGATACAGTAGGCATTTCAACTGCTTTACCAAGGAGGCCTTCATGAATAAACTCTTATCCTTCCATTCTATTATAACTTCTATTAGCCTGTCACAATGTTGAAAATTTTACACATTGCAAATTGTTTTGGGAGATTAGGGCATTTTTTTTCCATCTGCCATATATAAAAATTTCCCATCTGTTGCATACAAGTGTGTGGAGAACAATAATTATCAGTATTTCCATCTGAAGTCATCTAGCAAAGTCTTTCTAGGCAGGTAGCTGAAGACAAGACTCTTCGGGAATGAAATTTGAGACTGGTAAGCTTTCTCTTTCCCCCATAGGCAAGAAGAGAATGGAAAATTAAACAAACCCCAAACTGAGGCACTGACCATAAAAGCAATCCAGAATTATGGAATCTAACTTGAGAATTCAACTGTCAAGTAAATGAAAGCCCTGCGATTTCTGGATACCTAAGATATCCACAAGTAATGGCAACAAGAGATGTTTATATAATTTTTTAAATCTTATTTAACCCCCTAGAATGGGTTGTAAATTTCAGTTGGTAGGCTTGTTGTTAAGATAGAAGCAAAAATATCTAAGCATAGCTACAAATAAAGTGGTAAACCAACTTGTTAAAGTGAACCTTAAAATTCATTCTAAGGAGAGCTGGGGATCTCTGGGATCAGAAACAAATGGATCCAGGAATTTTCAGTGGAAAATGAACATAGGAGAAAGTCTCTTCTAAAGCAATGTCCTAGGAGTTACTGTAGAGACCATCAAACCCTTCAGTCTCCTTTCCTGATATATGCAAGGTTTGGGGATGAACCCTAGATTAGAATAGCCAGAGGGATATGAATGTGACTGATCCAGGCTAATTGCTAACTTTGAAGGTGGTGCCAGAGAGCACTTTATTATCCTAAACAGAGATTGCCTTAGTGAGACTATCTACACAGGTCAGAATCCCAGAAGGGATCAAAATCCAGTTCAGAGGGCACAAGGAGTTTTAATGAAAAGAATATCCATAGACATATAAACACCATTTAGAAACAAAGAAAAACCAACAAACAAAAAAGGGTGTTGAGGTGTCCAGATACTACCAACAGCAGGAAGCCATTGCCACCCCAGGCTTGAAGAAACAGAGGGAGAAATAGTGCTATGGGAGCTCAGCGGAACTTGAACTTCTCTGGTAAGAGCTGTAATGATGAAAGTATAAGACTACTGCTAAAAACTCAGCCCAAAGCAAGCATGCAACCCTAACTGCTCTCTCCTCTGGCTGATTTCCTGCTGGTGCTTCTTTTTTGCTAACCTCAATCAGCCAAACACATGGGAGGCCAGGTGGTACAGATTTAGGAGGTAAGCCTCCTTGAGCCAAAAATAGAATGAATAAAGCTACAGAGTAGAACTGAAGTACAGGGGTAAGAGGTCAAATAGAGTATAACAAGTAGATCATCCAAAATATAAAATCATCAGGAGTGAAAAATATTAAATCATCAGCAATGAATGGAGAGCAAGAGCTGACTCCAAAGCATTGGGTCAAAACCTGATAAAATACAGAGAGTCCCCAAGGAAGTATGTACATCAGTGAGAAGGAATATTGGAGAGGGTGGACATCTGATCATTGACCAGACCAGATTATATCAGCCATCACTGGCAAGGATGTAGAGTCTGCACTCTGGCCTTATCGGACACCTCAATTTTCCTTTTCAAACTTCTCAAAGGACACCTGCATACATGTTATGCACCCACACCTTGCTCTTCTTTCAAACTTAGTTAAATCCCTCAGGGAACTCTTGATGAAATCATTTGCACCCTATTGCATGCTTATAGAACCATATGCTTTTACTCCACAGAACTTTTCACATTTGCAATTTTATACTTAGTTGTGTGGTCCCTCAATTCATACTTGTTCCCCCTCCCATGTAATAAGCCCCATGAGAATAGGAACCATGTCTACTTTTTTTTTCATAATTTAATCTCCAGGGTTTAGTATATAGTGCAAACTCAGTAGGTATTTTATATAAAATTAATTTTTCAACAGAAAATAAATATCCATAACTCATGGTACTTGAATGATTTACAAAAGAGCTGGCTCTATAAATTGGCATCTTTTTCTAGGATGCATCTTTTATATTGTGAAGAAATAAGATGTGACATTCCAGGTGCTCCATGTTAAAGAGAATACATTTGATAAAATGTCAAGACTGATGCTATTTGTGCTATTGCAGTAGAGAAGAGAGAATTCGGTATAGAACTGATGCAAACTCCAAGTTAAATAGGTGAGGAAGAATGTATTCAAAAAATAAAATCACGCTTGAATCAAATGTATTAAATATGATATATCAAGAGCTTTGTAATGTTTTGAACAACTAATAATAAAAAAATTAAAAAAATAAAATATTAGCCAACCCCCCCAAAAAAAAACCCCAAAAAATAAAATCAATTAAAAAAATAAAATTATTGAAAAAAGCCAAGACTACTGTAATTGGGGAGAGATATTGAAGTCAACTTTATTAAAATAAAAGGTGAAAGAGTTTGTAAGCACTGGGGTAAACTAGTGCAAAAGGACTAGACGAAGTTAGGAAGGAAATTGGCGAATGTCATTGGTCCATCAGAGTTTGCTAAGTGAAGTTTATTAAAGTTAGGTTTTTAACCATCCCTGAGATCAGAAGACTGGAGGCACTATCTTTCAATTATTTACATTTCAACGGGATGGCACCTAAGTCCTGAAGAAAATTTACATCTCAAAGGAGCAGCAAAAGAATTTACCATAGTAGGTTTTCTAAAATAGGAGTTAAGAGATCTGTATTCAGACAGGAACCTGTCTAAAGCTTACTGAAGCTGAAAGGAACATCAACTCTGTCATGGTCAACAATGTTTTACCACTTTTACAGATTTCAAGCAATATAAACCTCTAAAAAGAAACACTCTCACAAGTATGTGTTCTAATTGGGCATGAGAAGAACCTGGTATGAATGAGTGGGAGTAGAAGATTATACAATGATAGCAAAAAGCCCCTAAAAGAAAGAGAAAATAATCTGCCTCTGTGATTTCCAATTACACCCTCTCAGCTATTGCAGTGAAAAATAGAAGCATGCTTGGTAATTATGAAAGAGGTATCTTGGAAGCAAGAGGGATTTACACTACATGCCCAGTCAGCAAGCAATGGCACAGGAAAATTATTCTACCCCCTGGTGCTCACTTCCACTCCAGAATCTGACATGCTGACTACACATCTCCTAGCTCCCCAGCCTGGGAATCCCAAGGACTGCAGGGGTCGGAACAAGCCCACAATTCATGACAGACCAAGAACAGAGAGAGAGGGAAAAAAAGCATCAAATCAGGTTACAAAGCAGGAAAGCTTTCAAGGAACCAACTACAGCTAACAATGTAGGTCATCCTCTCTCTGACTCTTGTGCAGTAACTGTTGCAGTTTTCTCTAAAATGTAACTAATGGAATAAACAAAAAGCATACTTGAAATTGGCATGGAGAAAGAAAACCGGTGTGGATAGGTGTGAATTGAGTCCATGGACCATGCTGCCGCTCCAGCTCGCCTTGAATGTTGAGTCAATTATGTGGAGGCTTCTCCCTGGGAAGAATGTTTGCACCTTCTGGAATAGGCAACTTTGACCCTGTCACTCCAGTCCTTTTGCAGTTGCAGCTGTTTTCGGGATTTCTACTTTCCACTTGGCCAGAGCAAATCTGTTCATTAGTCTTGGTGCTTTGAGCTTCTGCTTATTTAGACTAATTAGCTTCCTGCCTCTGGTGAGAAAAGGATGTGAGATCCAGACTCACTCCTTTCTTCTTCCTCCTCCTTTTCATTTTATTATGATTTTTTTTGTCGATGGAGATTGACATGCCTGATGATTCAGCAATTTTGCTGTCCTGGAAAACAATGAGGAGGACAAGGAGACAGTACCATTCATTAAGGTGACTTTAGCTTCTGTAAAATGAAGGGTTTGTTTCATTGCTTAATAACTCCTAAGTGGAGCTGGTGCCTTATGAGGGTCTGTGTCTCCCTGGCTTCCCTCTGTGGCTTTGCTCTCATCTTCTCTTCCTATGATTGACAGTGTGTTTTTCCCATGTCTCTCTGCCTGCCCTCAATTGCTGAGACTCTGGATGTAACCCAGTGGTAACTCCTTTGACTCAGGTCATTCAGAAAGTTAATGACTGAGCTGCAGGGTCTCACATCTCACCTCCACTGACAGTGGGCGTGCTTCAACACACGATTTATCCTGCAATTTCCAAAGAGACAGTTCATCTTCATGCGTTAGCATTTCTAAAGATTTTTAAAGAGATTGCATCAGCATCTCCTAAAAATCTCTTTTGTTTCACTGACAGCTTTAAAAGATCGTCTTCTCTGGCTGCAAAATTACGGATGTCATTTTTAATGATCGATGTTATTTGTCATCCCAGAGGATAGTCTCTGGTGAGAATTACAAAGATGCCTTTATGAGGCAGGAACAGGAGCCCAGAGTAAATCAAGTGATGGTTTTATGGTGACCCAAGTGACAGAGCTGAAGTAATCGCGTGGAAAGTGACACCAGACTCTAAATAACACTCCCTTCCACACTGCCTCTGACCCACGGCTCATTTGTTCGAGTTGTCTCTAACTGAATATTACTGCAGTGGAGAACGCTCAGTGAATCATCATCTGATAGACAGTGACCTTCAGCTCCTGCCTCATCACTAATCAGCTGTGTGTCACATTCCATGTCAATTAACCTCTCTGGACCTCAGTTTGCACAACTGGTAAGTGATCTTCATTTCAGTGCAAAGATTCTGTGATGGTGTGGTATGCCCTTCAGGAGAAACATCTGTCTGATTCTCTACTAGATGCTTCTTTACCTGAATGAAAGCAGGCTGAGCATCATGGCCACTGAAAATGTCCAACATCCGAAACTGCACAGTGATGCCTTCTGGAAAATACTACCCTGATCAGTGTAAACAACTATTTATTCCCTGGCCACTTAAGGAAGACTGACAAACACTAATTATCTTCATTAAGTCATCTTGGTTTCCAAGTCCTTCCCTGCTGCCCAGAAATCAAAGGCTAAACCCCAGGCTATCATTGTTTTGAAGGAAACTCACAGATAAAGTGTCAGCTGCCCAATTACACAGTTCAGAATGATTTTTAACTTTCCTTTTTTTATGATGAAGATGTATAACTGATGCAGGGAAGTGTCAGACATTGCACCCTGGAGCAAGCCTGCTTCTGATGCTTGTAGGGCCTGGGGCAAGGGTACTAATGAAGGTCTACCCACAAACAAATGGTGTCAGTGTTTGTGTTCTTTAGAACTTGCAAAGTTCAAGGATCATAGCTGAGGCCTCTCTACCCAGACCTGAAAGTCGCTTCGTATCTGTGACTGACCCTCCTGGTCCTTGATGAATTAAAGTAAGCTATAGCTTCATCCTCAAAGAGTTGTGTCACTCATCCCTTGCATGTTACTCTCAGTCCTCCATGAAACGATATCTACACAGAGCTAATGTGAAGAAATGTACTAGGGGAAATGTCTGGGAGGGAAAGTAGGAAGAGTCAGAAAATAGCATTAGACAACACTGCAGGAAGGACTCCAAAGGATGAGTAAAGGAAGGAAGGAAGGAAGGTTGTTT